CGAACAACAACGAGAGTTTGGAACACGCAAATATCTTAACCAAGAAATCTACATTATGTGGTTCAACGATTGAACTTTGGGTGTGTATGATAACGGGGGTGGTGGGGTGAATCCGTCCCACCCCAGCCAATGAGACATTTCTTCCCCGTTTAGGTTGATCTGACATTTGCGAACGCGGCAAACGTGGGTGATTAAGGTCAACCGACTTTTCGGGAGTGGTTTTTAGTAAGGCACGCTTACCCGGCCACCGGTAAAAGTCGCGTGCCACGTTTCTGGTTGCGTGGGTGTACCTTTCGGGAGCACACCGCATAGGCTGCGGTGGTATATCGTCTTCCCGCAGAGTCAATTCATTTCAAAGGCCATGTTCGATTAGAACGTAAGTGATCATGGTTCTCCACAACTTCCCTTTCACAGTGGACACAATATCTGTAAATTTTGTGTTGCCCTTTCACAGTAAGCACTATTTAAGTAGACTGGTCCACCCGTAAAAAACAGGGAACATTTTTGGAAATAATTTTTGAAGATATTAAAGCTTCGTATTTGTAAATAACAAGATCGGATAATTTCTTCATCTTAGTCGTCAGGCAGAAGATTATACCATAGGAAACTAATATAGTTTTCAGTATTTAAGTTTCCATCAACTTTTACCAATTTTTTCTACCATCACTTTTCATGCAACCTCACACCATCACCAAATATTACCGTCAAGTTGGTATATCATGCAATTTTTCTATCACTTGTTTTCCTACATATTCTGATAAAATCCAAAGAAGAATCAGCAATATTATTGGTCCTGATCTGGCAACTTGGCTTTACTTTCCCACCGCTGTAAGGTTACCACTCTGTGACTTTTCCATAAATACTTATAATTATTCGGATGAGCTCTTTGCAATGGTGATTATATTTTTTAATTTAAGCGCAATCCTAGACAGACGTCGACATCTCATCAATTTACAGTTGAGCTGGCTAGATGTAACCGTAAGTTCTATGCTAACAGTTTCTTTTCTCGCACTTCTTGCTTGGGGAACTCCCTTCTGGCTCCATGCTTTCCAGCTAACTTTGATCTTCAAAAATTTAAATGCAATATCAATTGCTATCTACTGTCCTCCTGGTTACTCTTCTTTTGTTCTCACTCCTTAGCAATGTTCCTGTTTCTAACTCTTCCACACCCAGTAACCCCTTGTGTGTTAGTGTGTTGCTTTGGTTGATATCGGCTAAAAATATTTTGCGTTCATCATTAAAAATTATTTTTTGCCCCTTTCCAGGATTCCCTGTTAGATGTGCATTTGACCCCTTCAATCTTCTATTCCGATGTTTTGGCGTTAATGATTTTTTGCTGCTATAACCCCGTTCGTGTTGGGTTTTTTTTTCTCTCCAATACTCAGGCTAAACTTTGAAATTTTGTTTTTCGTCCTCAATTGGAGTAGATAGGTTCGCCTATCGTCCGGTTCACACTCCTCAGAAAATTTTTGAATAGGAGCAGAGGTTTATCGCTTGTTTCCTGTTTAGGATTGGGTTTCCGGTATCTTTTAAAGATTTTTCATTCTCTTTCACTCCCAGCAGCTCCATGCGGCTTAGTGGCTTTATCGCCTTGCTTGGAGGTGAATTGATTTAAAAAAATCTTTAAAAGTCACGGATCGATTTTACTCAGTGTCGATATTATGAACAAGATTACCCACCTTGTAAACTGATTAAAAAAAAAAACAAAAACAAAAAAAAACAATATTTTTCGATTCTGACAAATGTCGCGTCTCTAAGAAGATTCCTTAATGCTAAGGTACAAAAATTATTGCTTGGAAATGTTTTCCCTATATTTTACGAGTGGACCAGTGTATTTAAGTTGTTCTAAATGGTAAAGTGGTTCCTCGTTGCCTTCTCTCTTCAGAGTCCTATTTTTTCGAGACAGGTGACCTTACAAAAGCTATTTTGTTTATAGCTGGAGAGAGAAGTGATGGATTCATACCTTTAACACGAACTCGGCCCTCTAGTTACATTTTCCGTGCCAATAACCACTATCCCATCCGCAAGATGATTAAAAAAACGCCATGTCCCTTTGAAGACGTAAGCAATTATGAATCTCCACAACTTCCTTGAAAAAGTAGAGTGATTTCCCGTTGCCTTCTCCATGATTGGTTTAGAATATATTGCCACTAAAGACTATAGAGCCCAGTCTACGCTGTTATTTTACCCATAGCTGGAGGAGGACAAGAGATGGATCTATGCAAACACATTAGTGCAAACTACATAACTCAGAATTTGGATGCGGCTCGCCTTTTCCATTTTCCACATCCACATCGATATCCGTGGCACTAATCCGAAAAAGTTATGTTTGAGTAAAAGGACCTTCATTTAATTAATTAGAGAAAAAAAATATTAGGGATATTTTATATTTAAAAGTGTTAACATTGAAAACGAAAACAAATTAACACTTTTAAATATAAAATATCCATAATATTTTTTTTTCTCTAATTAATTAAATGAAGGTCCTTTTATTCAAACATAACTTTTTCGGAAAAAGAAAACACGAATCATCCCAGGTACGACGATAAACTACATCCGGCAGCAAAGCCTCTGATCGGAGATTGGAGATTTTGAGGAGCGTGGTATCACCCCTTAACTGTTTCATTCTGAACCGGGTGGTAGCACTTGTTAGGGTCCCAGCTATGGACAAATAGTAACCCCCTCACCCAAACAAATCAACAGGTCATTTTATAGCAAAATGACAATTAGTGCAACGCTAAAATAGTATAAAAATACATTTTTCTAAAAAAAAAAAAGAATGACTAACAATGAATTTTATTTTATTTTAAAAACTTACCTGCCGAAATAAATGTTATTGGATTTTTCGAGATGTGATAAGTTTTTTTTTTCTTTAATATATATAAATGTTCATTTTTAAGTATAAAATATTCTTGATATTGAGCACTTTAACCCATAAACATAGCGTACCTGGCTGAAGCTATCCTCGAAGAAAGTTACCCCTTGCGCTTTCTCGGGCTAACGTTCTCAGATGACGTAAGGTGGAAAGACTACATTGAATCTATCGCTAGATGATCTGCTAAGAAAGTCGGTTCGCTGTGCCGGGCGAGACAATTTTTCTCTCCAGAATCTATCTTACATATCTATAAGTTTTACATTCGTCCATGCTTAGAATATTGCTGCCATATATGGCCAGATGCCCCTGCTATTTTCCTGGAGCTGTTTGATAAAATCCAAAGAATCAGCAATATCACTGGTCCAGATCTCGCGGCTCGGTTTCAATCACTTGTCCACCGTCGTATAGGTTGCCTCTTTGTGCCATTTATTTAATATTTCATGGAATTGTTCGGATGAACTCTACGCTAGACTGGATTAATTTAAGCGCAATACTAGAGTGGCGGTGTGACCTCATCAATTTACAATTGAGTTAGCTAAATGTAGCCTCAACTTCTATGCTAACAGCATCTTTTTTCTGAACTTCTCGCTTGTGAAACTCCTTTCCCGCTTCATGCTTTCCAGCCAACTTTAATCTGCAAAAATTTAAATGCAATATCAATCGCTATCTACTACCCTCCTGATTACTCTTTTCTCTTTCTTTTCATTATTAATGTTCCTTTTTCTAATTCCTCAACACCCTGTGACCCCTTGCGCGCTAGTGGCTTTACTGCCTAGCATGGGATGATGTCGATTAAAAATATCTTAAAACACACACACACACACACACACACACACACACACACACACACATATAGTTTTAAGGTGTGCTATATTTATGCGATAAAGTGCTCAATATCAGAGTTAAAGCGTATGTAAATATAAAAGTGAACATTGAAGTCAATACTCAAAGGTGACAGGCTATTTCATGCTAGACGCAATCGTCAGGCCGCCTGACGATGCATCTAACATGAAACAACTATCGCCTCTGATCATTGACTTCAATATTCATATATATATATATATATATATATATATATATATATATATATATATATGTTTGAATAAAAGACAGACCACGTTAAGATTCCATGTAATAAGCTATTTCACCATAACCCCTTTAACAGGGTTCTGGATCATTAGACTTTACTTCCAAAAGCTGAAATGAAAAGAAATTCACACGTTTTTGACGGACCTCATCAAGTATACGTTATATATATATATATATATATATATATATTACCGTGAGTTTCAACAAGTGACAAGTTAACCTTTGAGCAAATCTTTAAAATTAATTTTTGCAATTTTGAAATTGAATAAGGAAATCTGAAAATCGTTTCTCTCAGTTAATAAATATTTCCCAATATTGGAAAATTGAAGATAAGAGAGAAATATAGAAGTTCAAAAGCAAATGCTGAATTTTCAAAATATCTAAAAAGGTATAACTCCCCAAAACATTACCAATCTGGATACTGCCGAGTAGAAATACAAACTCATACCCGACCTCAAGTGGATTACATATACGATCCATCACTATAGATGCAGGTAGAATAATCGACTCCCTGTACCGCTCCAGTAAATTACCTGACTCCTCATTTCATTCTCTTCCTTTATAAGAACCAGATTCGGTCGAAAATGGAGTACTGCTGCCATATTTGATCGGGAGATGACCAGTCCTCACTTTCCAGCCTTGATAGAGTTCAAAAGTGTCTCCGAGTTCTTGTTGGGTGAACTTTATTATATATATATATATATATATATATATATATATATAAAACAACGAAAAGCATACACCCTGTTCGTATCTTTTGCATGTAATGAGAATTTTTCCTGTTTCATTGCTAGTAAAATTGTGGTATACCAGTGACTAGAAATGATTTTAGTCGATATTGACGAAAATTACTTTTCGTCATTGGTATACCACAATTTCGTTTCGACGGAGAAGAGATCGGGCGAGTTAAGCACTTGAACAAACTACTGCTGTCATTTATAAACTTAGTCTGGTACAAGGCTACAAAAAAGGAGCACCTATTAAGAATCGAAGTCACTACACAGTAGTAATGGTCAATCAAACCAGCCTTTGCTCAATGTCGTTTGTTTCTTACCTGCCGATACTGTAATTAATAAAAGGTTGTTTCACATATTATAAAAATCAGTGTTCGAGTCTTAGCAAAAGTCAGCACTTCGAATGTCGATTTTCAAGGAACCCAGATGCTTTCCAACTAAGATAACTGGCGTTGTGTAATCTACCACTCCTCACGTTTCCACCATCTTTGTTTAAAACTGAACTGACCCTTTTAAAAAAAAATCTTTGGTTGACTTTCAGTTTTTCCTTTCATTTTTTTGTAAATATTTAACCTGGTTTGGCTCAAGGTCAAAGATGTAGAGCATTAAGGTAAAGTCGGATTCGATGTCAGTGACCTGTGAGAATAGATAAATATTTCTACAACACCAGGCGCGCTGTTATTTCTTTTTTGTTCTCAACCTCTTCTTCTTTTCTCTTTTCTTTCTTTTCTGTTTTCCTTCTTTTCTCTTTAATGTTTTTTTTGGTTCTTTTCTCGTTTCGTCTTTTTTGTTCTTTTCTCTTTTCGTCTTTTTTGTTCTTTTCTCTTTTCCTGCTTTTTATTTTACTTTTCTTTTTTCCTTCTTTTCGTGATTTTTTCTTTTCTTTTTCTTTCTTTTCCTCCTTTTTTCTTTTTCTTCTTTTCCTTCTTTTCTTATTTTTCCTTTTTCTTTTCTTTTTCTCTTTTCGTTTTTTGTTCTTTTCTCTTTTCCGTTGTTTCATTTCTCTTTCTTTCTTTTCGTTTTTCTTTTTTTTTTTCTTCTTTTCCTTCTTATCATTCTTTTCTCTTCTTTTTTTTGTTTCTCTTCTTTTCACTTTTAACTTTTCCTCGTGTTCTCTTCCTCCCCCCCGCCTGTCCTTCAATACACGTGACACTTCGCAAGTAGAAAAGGGAGAAGTATTAGTGAAAGCAATTAAATTCGAAACAACAGGTACAAAATTGTGTTGAACACATGCATCCGTGTATGTCTTCTTCCTTCCCCTGTATATGTGAGTGAGAAAGAGAGACTTGGTCTGCTTGAAACAATCGGTTCTGTGAAAGCATTTCTACTCTGACGGCCGACGGACATAAATTATTGTTAGTTATTTTCGCTAAGCCATTTCAACTCGTCATTCAACACAAACCGACTTCAATAGAAAGAAACGTTTTTTTGCCTTTTTTTTTTTTAATACTCCCCCCCCCCACATCCAATAAGACATGTGACCGAAATAATTGCAGGGAGAGGGGAGACCCACCCTTAGGAATCTATTTGAGATCTTTAAATTTTCTTCTGTCGTTATTTCTTATTCTTTCGGTGTATTTTTCAAGCTTTCTTTTTTTGTGCTCTTTCTTTTTCTTTTTCTTCCCGATTCTTCCTATTCTTTTTTTTTTCTGTCTCGCTTTAGGTTTACTTCATTTCGGGTTTTCTACTCATTGTGAGAATAATATTGAACAAGTGTGGGTCACCCAGTGAAATTCAAATTCGTCACCTCCTCGCCAGGGGATTGTGGAGTTGATAAATATTTAATAATAGCAGTTTTGCTATCAAGAGTAGTTTAACTTTGGATGAAAAAGACGATACTGTCAGATGTTATTATGCAAATAAGTTATATCCCCGTAAATTTGGTTTGGTAGTAAGCACTTGATGTTAGTAACATAGGAAATATTTACATAGGCACTGCCTCAAAGATTCGCTAAAAAAAAAAAAAAAAAAAAAATGAGCATACATGATGAAAAAATGCTTAAACTTAATAAAAAATAAATGTTTTATCGTCAAAATCATTATGTTCTTATTTGAAAAACTATGTAAAAAATTAATAATCCTTTTTAGAACGTTAGAAATTTTGGTTTAAAAATCTTGTTTTTCTGGGGTCATTGAGGGACCATCAATTAGTCTGGGAAATTTGAACGTCTTTTTTACGGTAAAAAAAACATTGATTTAGAAATTCGTACAAAAACTAGATAATTCGATTTGTCAGATTTTAATGGAACTTTTTAGAACTTATTCACAAATAATGAAATTATTTTTTTTAAATATTTCTTTTTTGCTTTTTAGAAAATCCTAGTAATAATTCTATTTTAATTTCGAAAAATTATTATTACCGCTTCTTAATATTAAGAAAAAAAACAGAAAATCCTTGGAGAATTTAAATCGTGAATATCTCTTTGTGATCAAACAGGACCCCAGTGACATTGTCATTATTATTTAATTAGAAATTTTTTTTAAATGCTTTTATGAAAAACATGTATTATTACGAATACTATTGTTCTGTGAATCATTTTCGATGCATAAATGAATTTTACAAAAATTTTCTTTTCTTTTAAATTTTAATTAGAATAGTTTATAAACTTTTTAAAAGCGGCCAAGTGATATTATTGTTATTAAATAACTGTATTTTTACTAATCTTAAATAAAAAAGCTTACAATTCAGCAACCCCAGTAAAAAGAATTTTGATTTGTGTGTGTGTGTGTGTTGTGTGTGTGTGTGTAAACGTACCGATTTTTGTCAATACGGATGTCGATACTCGACATTATCAGAAAATAAGCGCGTTGATTATAGTAAATTTAAAATTTATTGATAAAACGGGATGGTCCATTATTTATTTGCGGTAATGGCAGCGTGTAACGCACTAATGGGGAAAGCAGCAGAATTTTTGAAAACATTGGCTTACATGATAAAAAAATCTGATTTGCTGAAGCTTTAATTTTTTTGGTAACAAATCTCACGAACCCAGAGATATTTGATAAAAAAAAAAAAAATTAGGTCACCTAATTTATTTACAGCCCAATTGGTTAATGTAGGGAGTTCGATCCTCATTGGGTACTCCTCTACTTTAGCCTTGTGTTCGACTCAGAACGTATGCCTTGTGATATGTAAGTAATTAAGTTTTCGTATTCCTTTCAATCTCTCTTATTCGTCACGATTCTCCAAGATGGTTTGGTCTGTATTTCAAAGCGAAATATTTTTGCACACTTCTCAGTGGAACACCCTTTTGTGTTCCTTCGTAACGAATTTACTCTAGCCGCTTATATTTTTTAGTCTATTGTTAGGATTGCATAAACGATTTGGGTTTTACTCATAAATCGCGTGATAATACATCGGAACTAGTCTTTAAACATAAAAACAAATTCCCTGAAGCTTATAATTCCAGACAGACCACATATTTCAAATAAAGAGACAAGCCCTGATTGTTGTGAGCACAAAAAAAAAAAAAGAACAAACTTTGTCCCATTGCAGTCCTGTCTGTTCAGATCTCAAAAATGTAAAAAAAAAAAAATATCAGGACTTCACCCGAGAACAGCTTCATCTGTGGTTATAAATACTCCAGCACTCTCCTCAGTATCCTTGTTAAGGTTTTAGCTTACTATTCTTGCTACTATGTCTCCCCACTAGTAGTATCATGTGACTACAGTCAGGGATCAAGTGCCAGTAAGTCTGTTAAATTATTTTATTTTATTTTCTTTTTCTTTTTTTTCTTTTGGATGGTTTCAATCTTTCGCCGGAAATTCAATTCTTCCAAACTATTAGGTTGAGTCATAAATTCTTCAAAAAATAAAGTTCAATTATATTTTATTCAATTATACATCTACCGTTAGTTGTATTTTTAAAAATCAATTTCGCCTCAAGTAAAGCAGGTCTGGTTTATTTTGATTAACGGCATATCAACTCCTTACGGCTCATTAACTATCGAAATTTAATTTCCTTGGGAGCTTTGATCATTTTTTTTTTTTTTTTTTTGCATATTTTTGGCTGGAAAGCATGCAGCCGAGAGAAAGTTCCTCAAGCGAGAAGAGCAAGAAAAGAAACTGTTAGCATAGAACTTACGGTTGCATCTCGCCAACTCAACTATAAATTGTTGAGACCACGATGCTAGGCTAGTACTATGCTTAAATTCAAAAAGTCTAGGCATCATAGTGAAAGGCTCATCCGAACAATTGCAATGGAAAGTATTTATAGAAAAGGCACAGTGAGGCAAACTTGAAGTGGAGAAAGAGACTGAAGCCGAGACACTAGAACAGGACCTATAATATTGCTGATTCTTCTTTGGATTTTATCAAGAAGTTCTAGGTATATAGCTGGGATACCGGATCATATGTATCAGCAATATTCTAAGCATGGACGAATGGTAGACTTATAGATATATATTTGGTGTCAGCTCTTCGATATCTTTCGAGTAAAATTTCACAGGTTTTGATGCGAAAAAAAAAAAGAAACTCTTGAATCTGGTTTTGATTAGAGAAAGTTTTCGCCATCAAAGCGTTTTGTAGCCATCGAAAACGTTAATAATCATTTGTTGCAAAGTTAGGTGACTACGGCGGGTAGAACAGACTAACCGAGTTCCAAAATTGTTTCCTCTTATTTCTTGATGCATTGTCATTGAGGAGAATAATATTTTTTCCTTTAATTCACCGTATACGCTGCTACTACCGTGAAAAAATCTAAAATATTGTATACCAAATTTATTCTTAACTGCCACGTATGTTTAGGAATCAATTAGTTTGATTTTTACGACTAAACCGTATTGGCGTTATTTAAAGCCGGAACATATTTCAAATTGTAGGAGGTCGCTTACAGTGCCCGATATTCTCAAACGGCCCCTCATCTAAGTACTGGCGTCCATATTGTTTAACTTTGATGATCGACCATTTTTCAGCCAAATTGCGAGATATGATGACGGCTTTGGTAAAATTACCTCTTAACTTTGCAGGTTGGGGTCCCGGTTAAAAATACCTTTGGCTCCGGTAACCCAGTCTGCTTAGACGGTTTCCAATTGAAGGTGGTACCTAGGTGTGACTCTTTAGCAGTTTCACCCTTCAAGTCCTCTCAACACTCGGTCATGATTCCCCCCCCCCTCTACTACCACTCATGAACAGAGATGCACAGTACGATAGTCACGTGGGGAAATAACTAACTAGTTAAGGTTATTGTTTTTGATGTTATTATTACGGGCAAAACGGTTCATCATCAAAGCTTGTGGACTTAAATTTTTACAGGGGATATTATAACATAGTACTGGTTGAGGATCCTTTATCCAAAATTCTTGGGACCGGAAGTGCCTCAGTTTTCAGATATTTTCGGATTTTGGAATATTGGGTATTTAATTTGTATATATCATCTATAAAATAGGGCAGCTTGGGAATGGAACCCAATCATAAACACGATATCCCTTTACATTTCATAACACAGCTTAAGGTAGTTTTATATGAAATTTAATATATTTTGTGTACATACAGATACAAGTAATGACGCTAGTCGTGTGATGCTTACATGGATCTTTAAATGGTGAAATTAAGATTTCACGTAAAAATAATGATTTGTACTGTCTGCATGTGTACAAAAACATGATTACTACTTACAAAAGTGTATAAATACATGGCTTTTTGACATTTTGAATAATATCTTTACTGAGCACGAACCATGGTAAGTAATCCACAAACGAAGGTGTTGATGTAACGATTGCTAACAAAAACTAGCGCCAACTGGTTTTCCGAAGATTCCCATTTGGGGCAAGTTATGTCAGCACCTGAAAAATTTTCGGATTTTGAAATTTGGGATAAAGGATATTCAACCTGAATAACAAAATGATTTCGGTTTCTTTACTCCAAGCCTTTTTTTAAATATAGACATTTAAACTCTATGATTCCACCTTATTGCATTATCAAAACTATTCGTCACTACCTTGTGTTTCAGGTGTTGTTATGGCAAATGCAAGTATTGAGATTCTGGTACTTTTATTCATTACAAAGAAGCTTTAGCTGCTTGCAGAATACGGAAGATGCACAGAAACGAAACGGTATCTGAACCAATTACCAAAAAATGATTTAAACGTTTCTTTCTTTTTTTTTTTCTTTTAAAAGTGGTGACTTTTACATTGAAATAAAGTTCAAATGTCGTCGACTG